TCTCTGTCAAATAAATAAAAATAAAATCTTTAAAATAAATAAATAAATAAAGGATAATTTCTTTTGGGACATGGCTTCTAGTCCTCTCACCACTACTGAATGCTCCCTGGTTTATCCGTATCGAGAGGGGGTGGTCCCCAAAACATGGCATGTGGGTGGAGCAGAGTCTGTGCAGTAGTGGGGGGGGGCTGATCCCCCAGAACCCCTTCTACTTTATTCCTAGGATGACTTTGTGTTCAGTAGAGGACAGAAAGCCAGTCTGTGTTTCCCAGATGCCCTTTCTGTGGACGTTCTGGAAGTGAGCTAGCTACAGCCCATCAGATGGCCTCCTACAAGCAGGGAGAGCAGAAGTGAGGTGGAAAGAAGGGGACACACGGTGGCCGATTCTGTGCTGGGCACAGTGGCCGAGGCGATGGGTTTTCAAGCGTCCCAGCCTGGCCGCACAGGCTATGGGCAGTGCTGCTCTCGCAGGCACGGTGTCATCGGAGGCCAAGGGTTGTGGCGGTGGTCACCTGCTTCCTGGATGGTCCCTGATGCTGACCCTCCACCCTCCCCACCCTGTCCTAGGTAGCAGATTTCCTGGAAGGCTGGGTGCCATTCCTGGAGGCCCCCAGCTCAGGACCCCTCCTCTTTTGCCGCCCAGAGATCTTGCAAGCACCCACTTCCCTGCGCTCCGTTCATCTCTGATTAAAACAGCCTGAGTGGTCTCTACTGTTAGGCACTGACTGACCCCTGACTGATACAGTGCAGAAGGACAATTACAGTCTTCATGGCATCAGGAAGCCAGGAAATTAGCCATGATTAGGCCCTGTGAAGTGTGGGACCGCAGGGAGAGGCTGGGGAGGGATGCTAATTAATCTTAGGCCAAGTCTTTTAAATTGCACAGGCTCTGGGGCCAGCTGTGAAGTCACAGTCTAAGATGCAAATATGGCTCCTGATAATAGAAGGCACTCGAAACAACTAGGAGGGTCTGAAGTGGGAAGTGGAGAAAGGCCTCCTTAATGAGAAATTAACATTCATTGCCGGGGACAAAAGGAGGCCTCTAGGCTGTGTGCCCTGTAGGCCTTGCTCACCTGCACTAAGATAAGGCTGTGGGAGTCAGCTAGCTGGCCAGGAACACCCTCAGTTACTTCATCACAGACCCACAAAGGTAGGGAAGACCAATGGGTTTGGTGGTCACAGGTCCAGGGTTCAAACCTCCCTAGTAGCTCTGTGACTCTGAGAAAGTCAGCTTATCTCTCTGGGCCTCAGTTTCATCAAAGGTACAATGAGGACAGTAATAGACCTACAGGGTTATTGCAAAGACGGCCAATAAAGCTTGCAGAAATATTTCCTACAGACCCACACATACGGCACAGGGCAAAAAATCAATCCAAATCTGGGTGACCACAGGATTAAAAAGGATTACACACCATTGCTTAAGCCTCATTTCAGACCAAGTGAGTCAGAATCTCTGGGGATGGGGCTCCCCAGGTGATGTGAATGCGCTGAGGGGGTTGAGACCCACTGATCCCAGACAAGATATGAGTAGCCGCAAGGTAAGGACTATACAGGCAAGAATACGGCACTTGGAACAAAGATCTGGGCTTGAGTCCTGCTGCTGTCACTTCTTAGTGGTTGGCCTCGGAGAGCTCACTTGGCTTTTCTGAGCACTCATCTCCTTGGCTTCTTTAAAATAGGAAGAAATTTGGAACTTGCCCTACAGGTGTGCTGTGAGGACAGAGGAGAGGAGTCACGCGGGAACTCAGCCCGCATCTCGTACCTGGTTGGCACTCAAAACCACAAGCTGCTGAAGCACCCTGAAGTGGCATCTCAGGTCTGTGGGGCAGGGGCTTGGTCTCATTCACCCACTGCATCCCTGGCATCGAAGAACGTGCCTGGCACATAGTAGGTGCTCAGTAAAAGACAGCTGTATAAATGAGTCATCACCACGGGGCTGTGAGTCTGTGCTGGGGTGGCCCCATCCCCCATCTGGAGGGGAGGATCATGCCACACAGAGGGGGCGGGAGGTCCCCAGACTCCTCTACCTTCCAGGGGCCAACACTACATGCAGAGAGGACACCAGTGCGGTGCCCAGCCAGACCCACCACTGCCCACAGGGATTCCCAGTGCTCGGATTATGTTTCTGTTTCCATAAGAACCCTGCTCCTTGTTCTGAAGCACGAGCTAGGGCCGTATGTCTCTACACTGCCCAGGGTTTCCAGACCTGGTGCCATCCTCGGCGCTGGACTTTGCTGGGGGCTGTCCGTGAACTCCGTCTTAAAGCTTCCTCTGCTTCTCGCAACAGGGTTCTCCGTCCGTAATCTGCACCAGGGGTGAGGGAAAGAGACTCAGCGAGGCAGCCGTGACAAGTTCACACCCAAGGAAGATGCGTGACTTCCATCTAAAATGCACACCCCGTGCCCAAAGTCTCGTATGCAAAGCGAGTCCTCTTTGTAGCAGCGGGGCATTAGAAAACAGGCCAAATGCCCAGGAGAAAGGGAAGGGGGAGGAGTAAGTCACAGCTGAACCGGCAGGTCTATATACAAAAGGAACAGTCTCTGAGATAGGGAAGCAGGGTACACACCGTGTGCAGTACAGGCCATCATTTGTGTAGAAGAAGACAGAAGGGAGGGTTATTTGTTGAATGAGTTAAGGTACTGCTGGGGGCCCAAGTACAGAGACGCCTGCTAACTGCACCTCCTTGAAACCTGCACCAGGAAAGGCCTGCTTGTCCCAACTAGCAGCAGGTTGGCCCGACTCCTCCTCCCTGAGAGCTAAGAGAATCATCCCACTTCCCTCGTTGCCCTGGAGGGCTAGGAAGCTCATGCTAAACTCTAAGCTGGACAGCAGTGACTCTCCTAGGTGAAGGTTTGGGGACATTACTTTCTCCTTTTATCTCCTCGTTGTTTTGACTTTTGCTGTCTATTACGGCTTGGGATATTCCCCATACCTATAAGGCAACGAATGAGAACAACACGAATCAAGATTATTGTGCGATGGGCATTTTACATTTCTTATGTCATTTAACCTTCCTGGCAAGCCGGCAAGGTGGGCTTAATTATTCCCATCTCATAGAAGCGGAGACTGAGGGTCAGAGAGGACCCGACTGCCAGAGGTCTCAAAGCTAGAGAGTGGCAGAAACCCAGCTCTGCCTCATTCCAAATGCTCTTCCCGCCACTCGGTAGCAGGCCGGGTCCTCAGACAAAGCAGTCTGCCTTCAAGGGCACTCTGGTGCCCTAGGGATGGGTGCCCTCGTCAGTCCCAAGTGACAGATGAGGAAAGAAAGGCCCGGAGAGACAAAGTAACATGGCCAAATTGGGACCCAACCCCGTGTGCTCAGCCATTTCATTCACTTTCCCGCCAGGTCATTTTTGGAGCCAGCCGCTGGTTGGGGTGCTCCTATTCCAACTTCACAGACTCTCTGAGCTTTTAGTACAGGACACATGGGACCGGTCTAAAGTCTGTAAAGTATGGATTAACTACATTCAGACATGAACTGTGGAGTCAAATATCACACAGGGTTGGGTAATAAAGTGAAGACAGATCCAGTGAAAATCGGGTATAATTTAAATTATTCTAGACATTTCCTTCAATTACTGGCACCGTGAAATGGAAAAGCCAGGAATTTACTGCTCTGGCCACCTTTGCCCTGGGGTAATGGAGGCCAAGGCTAAGTTTTATTTATTTATTTATTATTTTTTTATTTTT